AAACAACAAGCCAAAATTATGCGATGACAGAACTGTATGGGTATTCAAACGAACAACGTTAGTAATAGAAAGATATTAAGGGCTCCATCTAAGAAGAGAAGAGATTGATTTCTTGCCTTTAGAAGTAATTCTAATAATTTTTTATTTTGCAATAGTTGATATATTTTAAAAAAATGTTGAACTATTAAAAATAAAGCGAATTATTTTTACTATGCTGAGTGGTACTTTAATTTACACAAAGTATTAAAATATATACAGATAATGCCCGAACTGTACTGTAACTATGTTAACTTAAAACTACATAAACTTCTAAACTGTTGAGAACACCGCTTTTATATATTGCTACAATGATAAGCATGCCGAAGTACTTGTGTCTCAATATAATAGTTTTATCGGTGACGGAATTTAACTGTTATAGTGTAATCGCACTATAGGTATGTGAGAGAAGCAATTAGTGGGTATTCGTGAGTTCAGTACCTCAATAGACTAAATGTTTCGTGTCATGAGCCATAGCACGTCATACCTTGTATAATTAACAATTTAAATTGTTTTCTATTTTTTTTTATTATTTACGAAACCAATTGAAAGTTGCTTAATCTTACTACAGATGATAAGAATTCATATTCTCCAATATATAATATATAATAATATATAAAGCAAAGTATATCACGCCTTTTAATGGCCATCTATCAATATAATCACTACTTTGTGTCTTTTAATATTAAATATAATGCTCAAGTGCATAATAATAATGCACTTTGTAAATTATTAAATTTATATTTAAGCTTATATTTAATTTACGATATTATACAGAAGTCAAGTACATCTCAAAGCTCCAATTCTTCAAATCTTTTTCGAATATTTAAAGCTACGTATTATAAATGACGTACTTGGTATTTACTTTTAAAGCAGAAATCAGGAAGGCGTCTTACATGATTCAAGGGTCCAGGTTGTAAAACTATTTCCATAGATGCTTCGATGCTTAGATGCTTGGTTTAATAACCTATTAATTTCTTTGACAATATAAAATTTAATACAATTTCACTAAAATCAAAATATAGTGGCATTTTCAATTACTTCGCATCTAAAGAAACAATCAAGCAACCAATTGATAAACATAGAAATGTACTGTTTACATTTTCAAGGTGTATTGGTAACCAAAAAATAGTTTTTAAGTCTCAAATACTTCAATTGTGTTTGTAAAAACTGCTACTCATGTAAAAGTGAACCTCACATTTTTTACTTCAGGTATACCTGAATAATTATTACCTGTAAGCGAGTCGAATATAAATTTTTGTTGTGATAATTTCAACTCTTCTACTATGAAAGGCAGGCTCTATACTGTCTTTCATTAAGGAAATCGGGCTTGGAAAAACACTTTAACCCGAGTAAGGGGCACAATATACCTTTTAGGTCGCAGTGTACAATCCCTTCTTTTTAATAATAATATAAGTATGTATTTCATTTGTATTTTATAATTTATTTTTATATCTTTAATTGGAGATGGTTGGCCCAGATAGATCCGAGCTAAGTCTTTGACTGTCTTTATATTGGAAAAATTATCAACTGAAAGAAAACAACCCTGTATAACCCTGTGTATTTAATTTTAAGATTATTTATTTAATGTGTGCATATATATTAATCTTTATACAATATAAAATATGCATATCAAATTATATTTATTAAATCTTAAATAATAAATATAATTGTATGGTTAATAGACAAATTATTTCTACGTACATAAAAAAAGGTTTGTAATTAAATAAATTTTTTAATTCAATTTATTTTTTATTATTTATTAGTACTTTTGTACGTTATATTTATTTTAAGGTAAACTTTATTCCTAACAGTTGAGTATAAAAATTATAATAATTAAAAATGTAAAAAATCAACGCTTTTAATGACAGCAAAAGTCTGCGTCCAAAACATAAAAAGGGGAATTCCCGAAATAAAATCGTTCAGAAGACCTTAATACGTATTTTTAATACGATCGCTTACACTTTTTACTCCAAGGTACATGTACATATGTATGTAATTGAAGGAAGATATGATATCAGAAGAAATCAAACGTCTTGGCTACCCAATATTAAAGACTGAACTTGGCTTAGAACTATAGGGCAGTCAATGAAAGTTACTCGAAATAAAGAATGCTATGTACCATATACTACACTATATTCTATATACTAAATGTATACTATGTAGTTAATTGTTTAAGTATACATACAAACAAACAACGATAAACAAATTGCAATGTGATTCATTTTTATTTTTTATAGCTGCAATTTAGGTTTGTATTCTTAGAAGAGCAAGTTATCAGTTTATAGTAACTGAAAAATATATACACAAAAAAAAAATTTGATCAGTTTGAAAAATATATATAAAAACTTAAAGTGTATAAAAATTTCATTCAAAAATAACAATCAATGATAATAATGAGTGAATCAAAAACAATCAATAAATGAGTTTTAGTACACTGAAGCTGATGTTGCCTAATATCATGTTCCCACTGCAACTAAATCAATTTATGTTAATCAAATCAAGATTCGTCGTTCACGTTGACATATGTAAGTTGACTTGTACATGTACAAGAGTTTCTATTACATACCAACTAAAATGAATATTTTTTGTTAAATAACATATAATAGTATAATGGTATCAAATATATATTTGATATAGAAACTCGTTTGTATATATTTATGTATCAATTATATATTTTATTTATGTTTGACTTCTTTGTTTTTGTAATATAAAAAAAATATATTAACTATAAATTTTGTTAATAATATGTTTAAGCAGTACTACCAGTTGTTATTATATAATGAAAACTGACAAAAATTTAAAAGCATGCAATTTCATTTAAAAATTTAAGAGAACCAAATCAAAGAATCATATTGCTTTTGTATATCTTTCTTACTTACACTATAATAATAACCATAAACCATTATCGTAAACCACAAGCGACAGCAATGAACCATGGACTACCAACAATATTGGAGCAACATTCATTCTACTAACATTACGGCCATATATATAAATTTAACAGAGCTGTGCGTTTTCAAGTAACAAATGCAAGTGACAAGTTATATTTCATATAAAACTAGTGACGATTGCACCTTATGATGGCGCAATATACCGATGCGTGTGTGAAGTACACCGTGGTGTAGAGCCTACACGGCACGGAATCACGTAAAATCTGGACCTTCATGCACCTAATGATAGGATCACTCACATCGAAATTTCTATACAAAGTTATACTACATTCACACTGTCTCATTTAGACACTCGTTCATTTATATTAATGAGAGAACATTCACATTATAATGAGCTCATTTATGCAGTTAATAGAATTTTATAAACTTCACTTCATAATATATCATACAAAAAAACTAATTATACATTTGATATATTAAATCATTTATAAACATTTTATATATTAATGACATATTTAATTGATAAAAATTTAGATTTTTTTATATCTACTACTTTAGTGCCTTTGTTTACAGCTGAGTTATTTATTTACATTTTACATACAAAACATACGACACATATTTCAATTTTTAATCATTTCTCTTGTGGGAAATTTAATTTTGAGGATCGCATTCAACAATTTTCACCTTAAGCGAGCTAATTTATTTATAATGAGCTCATTTATATGAACGATTTTTATATGGTAAATCATTCTCATTAGTGGCTATAATGAGCAAAACCGCCTAAATGAGACAGTGTGAATGTGCTATTACCGCGATTTAATGATTCGGCTACAACTACAATTGCATTATGTTTATCACAAATTATTATCAAATTTACTGCTATTTACTACAATAAACGACTTTTACTATAGTACATTTTTTAGAATATATATTATTTTTTGTTAGCTAAATAACTACCAATAATATAATAAATAACACAAAAATAAATTAATAATAATAATAAAATATTAAATAAAATAAAATTAAAAAATATTACTAAAATTAATAAATACTTGAAAAATGAAAGCTTGACATATATTACCTACAATATTATAAAAACGCACCAATTTCATTACTGATTTACATGCGAAAACCAAATGTACTTTAAAGCATTTTCTTTGCAGTGTACCTCATTTCTGATTCAATGGGTAAAATTGTAAATGCGCAGTTAGTTTAAATAATCTCTGAAATATACTTGTTTGTAGTACATTTCCCATTCTAAAACGTGATGTAAACAAACTCTTTCGCTCTTTTAAAAATATGTACACAAACTCTCGCTCTTTTAAAAAATTGTAGATAAACTCTCTCACTTGATAATACTGAGAATAATTTTTACTGCTTTTTATTTTTTTTCATCAACAGAAACAGAGCGAGGAGTTTCATATGATTTTTGCCGGTTATGCACTTTTAGAGCAAATCCCAATCTTGCAGTTCTATTTTGTAGCGAGTGTAGTGAGTGTAGTATCCGAAGCGGCTTTTCTTTAAAAATACGGAAAGTGAAGAGTGGATATAAAATACATATGCGCTTTATTCTAATAAAAAGTGATTTCTAGTATAAAAAAAAAAATAAAAGCACGAATATTTGTGTACTGGTACTTTATATATTTTGAATTGATGCTAAGAAAAAATTGAAAATGACAACTATACTAATAGAACCACACTCCGATGAGCCAAACACAAATAGCGACATTGACCTTTTACGGTCGGAACAATCAAGTCATAGAGACACCGAACCATTACAGCCTGAGACGCCACAAATGAGATGGTCGGATAGAGTTCGACTAAATCAGCCGCAATCAAACTCTATTGTAGCAGGTAAATAAGTACGACAATTCTTGATATATATTGAAAACCATAAAACTGATATTGATTTTAAGAATTTTCTAATCAGTTCTATACAAATATTAAGTATAAACAAAAATTGTTAAATTTTATAAATGTAAGATAAAGTCAATTAAAATTTAGTTGAGTCATAAGAGAACATATAATATAATACAATCGCCGGAAATATATTATATTTTAGAGAAATTCAAATGGCTTGTGATTCAGATACTTATGAAGTTTAATTCAGTTGAAACACTAGAAAAATAATGTAGTTATCGGTTCATTAAAATATTTCCTAGTAACCTAACTGCAGCAAATAATGTAAATAATTTAATGAACTGTGTGTGTATACATCTATGTATACATAGGTATAATGTACATAGCTTTTCTTACTTAAGTGTAGGTTCGTTTTTAATAAGCCACGACCCTGATTGTGTTGACTTGTTTTAATATTATATTCATACCCAGCCTACGAAAGAATCGATGCATCACCGATTAACGATACTTTGGAATCAACCATCAATGCCACTATCATATCAAGTATATATATATATGTATTTTTGTGCATTGCATATCATAGAAAAAGCATCGATACTTTATTGCTACCTAGAAATACTTAATAGCATTATTGCTTTTTTGCTATAAAAGATGTTGGGGAATCAATATAATTTTGTAGGGGAATCGTTACCGTTGGACAAAGCATCCAAAAGTATTAACAGAGAATCAAAAAATTCAAATAAAATCATTTATATTTGTGAAGAATATATATTTATAAGTATTTTATTATTATACTTATTTCAAAATGATAATTAAATTAATATTATATATTATATAAAAATGAAGTACAAAGAATTTATATATGAAAAAGACATAAAATTTCTATAAAATATTGAGGGAATATACAGCATAAATTTCGCACATTGATTCCTCAAAGCAACCAAAAGTATCTATAAGCACATTTGGACACTTTTTTATATAAACTACAGGGTCAGACGATTGAAGTATTACCTATTTAAGCGATCATATATTTTTTGTGTGACATTAGTTTTCAATAATTCAACTTGCAAAAATTTGTGCAAATAATCAAAATTTCAGAATCTATTCACTCTAGATCGACTCTAGACCCTTTTGCCTTGATTATGGTCTTCAAACTGTTAAAAAAGAGCATGCTTCACGAATGTGAACGTTCGGTATTTTGGCCTATTTCTAAAAGATGCTCACCAATTAATATCTCTATATTTTTAGCGACCCCTGAAACATCTGTATGTATAAGAGTGTGTTACATAAAATATAGCAATCGTTAAATTGAATATATCATTCGTATATATACATGCCTATTACTTACATATTAAGTTGAGCTCTTCATCGGTTGTCATATGGAAGAGGTATGTAGTTAATTGTAAAGTGTGACAAATTCCATAAGTTTGAGAATCACAAATATTTGCAATTAATTTATCGACAGACATACATATTTTCAGTATTTAAAGTTAATTAAAATGCATTTTATTTCACTCAAAGCAATTTAATATTTTAAAAAAATTGAATGCATATGCTTTCAAAATTATATTTATAAACAATTTTAGAGTACAAAAATAAAACAAAAAAGTACACTGAAATAAATGAAGGAAAAACTCTATTATTTTTAATTATACGAGTATATTGAAATGATTTGTTCTATTAGATAGTTTAACCAAGCTCACCTACCTTTGAGCGGTGCGTTTCATCTATGGCTAAAAGTTAGTAAATAATAAATTTTATCATAATTATCTTAGAATGAACTTTATCCTTAAAAGTTTTAAAGATTCCTATACCTTATTTATATTGATAAGATTAAGCAAATATTTGCCATGTCGGGACCAAAAACAATCACTTAAGAAAAATACACGAGTTTAGGTATTTATTCCCATCAATATAGAAAATTTATCATAGGAAGATAATGGATCACAGAATAAAAAATAAATAAAATTATTGGGATGTAAAGTCATACTTTATGGCTAAATACCAAAGTGATAGTAGTGATAGCAGTGATAGTTGAAATACCTTGATAAGTGTGCATATGTACTTATCTTGGCGCTCAGTTTTGTTTATGTATATGGTGTATGGCTTTATATATATATTTATTTATATATATAGATTCTTATATGGAAGCTTAATTGGCTGCTTAATATATATGACTAGAGAAAGTCGATTCCACACTTATTACTTACACTCATTATGTCTATCGAAATATGATCTGGTTCTATGCGTAAATTCACCTTTCGCTGTCAATCTTTACACAGATTTTTCTGTAAGGCCTTCAACACCAAGGTTTCAGTATCAATAAGGCCATTGAAGTAGTTTTCAACACTTAGGTCATACATAACGCAGAGCGATGCTGAATCTTTTCCATTATTGTGCAGTGTGCTGTTTTTCTTACTACGATCGATCATATTATATTAACGTAATGTAAAGTTAGTTTGCTCATTGCTGTTTTGCACTAATGCATTAACACAAAAGGTTGGTCCCAAGTAACGCTTATCATCTTTTTAATCAGTATTTCTGCCCTATTCACTCTTTGTCCAACTTTGCACTTTCACAGTATATTGTAGTCGAAAGCTATTTCAAAATATGTGATCTTTAACTGTGATCTTAAGTGTGGTTCCACATAGGGACCTTACACGAGCATTAATTTTAAATTATTATTTTGGTATCAGTTAAAAAAGTTAGAAAATTATATTAATAGCGATAGCCTATAATACTTCTAAAAAGGAAGTTTATGTTTTAAATACAATATTTTAACGACGTTTAACATTATTTATAATTATTTTTTTATTACAGCCGCATTTATATTCATGTCAGGCGGTATGCACATAGCTTACACTTTTATTCCTCCCGATACCCATACTTCCACTGCTTGGTTTGTTGGCGCTATTATTGGTACTATTATAGGCTCAACAGTTTGTGACTTTCTTGGAAAAAAACTATTATTTGTAAGTTAAATATAAGTTAATATAATATATAATTTCTTAACATATTTTTTTATATATTTTAAGCTGCTATCAGCGTGTTTTGTAATACTTGGTGGCGTGCTATTAGTATCGCTTCCAAATAATAATGGCGCATTGTTAGCTGGACGTTATATAGACGGGTTTGCCAGTGGACTTCTGTTTGCACCCTTACTAGTCTTAGCTGGGGAAGAATCAGTGAAAAGTTTGCGTGGCATGCTTGCTGCGTTGCACGAAACGGATTCATTTGCATTGGGCATTTTTGTATATTTCATACCTATCTCCACAGGGTCGTCAAATACAGACCAATCACTTACTTCAGAACAGACGTTAGGAATAGTGAGCATTTTTTATGGCATAATGCCATTAATTATTATTTTCTTCTATTTTGTGGAATCTCCTGTGTATCATTTGGTTCATAACGATGAAAATCAAGCAATTGATTCTCTTCGTCGTCTACAACGCCCACTTGTAATTACCAGCGAAACTTATCAACAGTTGGAAGAACATAAGGCATATGTAGCACACAACAAGGAGATGTCACTTTTACAGAGTATAGTTTATGGTTTACCAGCTCTACTAAAGCTTTGTCTATTTCGTAGTGTGGTAGCTTTAAGTTTTTCAAAAATGACATATTATGCATTTGCTACGGCTTCATTGATTGGTTATAGTGCTGAAACATGGACACTTATAGTTATGGGTTTGCTGCGTTGGTTAGGTGTACTTATTAGTACACATATAATAGACACAGTTGGACGAAAGAAAGTAGTGCTAATCGGCGCTATTGTATGTGGAGGAATGGCAATTGGAATAGGAATAATTATGGATACGCCCCAAAATTTGATGGATGAGGATAAAATGAGAATACTTTTGTACTTGTATTTCGTGTTCCAGTTTTTCGCTGGTATCTGCATAGCTTCCAGTTCAGCATATCTGAGTGAAGCGTTTCCATTGGTTGTTAAACCTTATTATATTGGAATTGCCTTCATTGTTGAACTGCTGGTGCAAATTATATGTTTAACTGCTTTTGACTTCACTGACACTGCTTCCTATTTCTATGTTACTGCAGCGATCTTTTTGGCTTTATTCTTGTATGGATTATTAACACTTCCAGAAACGAAACACGACACTCTGCTTGAAGCTCAAATAAAATTTAAGCAATTACTCCACTCAAGTTATTTGAATTAATTTCGAGTTCTGTGTTAATTGTAGATTTAATAAATGTAAGTGACTTTACAGTATCGTGTAAATTTATAAAGATTTTTATACCATATATTTGAATTTAAAATAAAATTAAAATTATAAACTGTGTGTTTGCTATATTAAAAAAATCAAAAAAAATTTAATAATATATTCTTCTATAATAAACTAATATAATTTTTATTATATGTAGGATTACATGATTAATATTTTTTTGAAATATATCAAGTAATTGCAAGTAATGCTCTTGAGGCAACATATGTTTATTACAATACTAGGATCATCAATTATATTGCACCGACTTAAATTTTTCTCTATGAATTGTAGTTACAATCAAGTTCATATGGTTTATGATAAACCACAAATCAAAGATATTAAAATATTAAAAAAATATACCATATCCTTTGATATTAGTTCTTTTGTACGATTTTTTGATGACCTCAGTGCAATACTGTTAGCATCAGTATAGAAAAAGTTTTATTTTAGAAATTATTTTTATTTTCTATTATTATAAATAAAAATTAATGTAAAGCAAAATAATAATGGGTAATATATAATAAGTCAAAGTAATTGTAATAAATGAGTTATTTTTTAAACCTGGATTAACAGCCCTCTACACAGATGCAAGCTTCTCAACAGGTCCGCGCCTAATATCTCTCAGGAAGAACGACAACTTGTTCGTGCAGCAATAATTGTCGTGGCTAACTTGTCAGGTATAGATATGTCTATTCTTAATGTGTGCCCAAACTACACATTTACCCCCCGTGACGTCGCTTATCTGTTTTCTTACTCCACAAACCACCGTCCAATTGACCTTTAAATCCACCCCATTGAAGTGGCCAGGTTCCTCCGTCTGGACCCGGTTTAATTTCAAGTTAAACCCCATGCACCCACAATCCACTCTTTCACCTTTTTACCCGTCCGCCTACCTTCATCCGACACTCATTCACATCCTAACCCATGTATTCGTCTTGTAAAACTTATTGTGTTATCTGTTTGAAACTTTAAAGTTTTGACTTAAGAAAAATAGTCTCATTTTACAGATTATATTGATTATAGTCACTATTTCAGAATTGATCGTCATACACAGATATGATAATCCAGCTGAATAAATTTCATCTCTGCATCAATATATTCTTATGTTATGCCAGTGAAATTATTTTAAAACATTTTCTAAAACATCGAACATCGACACATTTTTTATAGAGAGATGTTTTATTAGGATCTTCAAAATTCCCATCCGTTTTAAAGTGCCACCCCAAAGCATTTACATAAATTTTATATGTAAATTTATTCCCCAAAGCATCGTCTTGACCTTTTTGTACCGAACTGCTAGGAGAAAGGTCCACAAAATGTGGCTGTATGTAAGTTATTCAAAGTCGTATTTCTAAAACTTCAACCCACCTACACATGGCATTATCTTAAAGAAATAATATATACATATTGTCCGCTAAACTTGTTATAACTAACAAGAGATAGAATAATATGAATTAGAAAGTGATCTTGAGAAGTAAAATATAATTTTAATATTATAAAAATTATACCTCTGTCAGTTATTTGTTGCTTATAATGAGATAAAATGAAAGCGGAATATATATAATAATATTATATAATAAATAATTACGGTCACAGAAATTCAAATTTAAAATAGTTTCAGCTTTATTATTATTTATATAAAATAATATAACCTATATGGTCTATATTTTGCAACAAAAATGAAACATATAATAAACATAAAATGAGTGTGAAGGATAATAATATAAACAAATCATTATATTGTAGTATTGTAATGTAAAGTAATTATAAAGATCTCAAAGAAGTGCGACCTGTCGAACTATAAAAACTATCTGGGCATAATACTGTTCTCAATTACTTCCGTAGTCCATTCGAGATTTCTCCTTAACTGCATATATAAATCACTTGACTGTTGATAAGAAAACAACGCTACACATTTTATTTGTCGACTATCCAACCGCATTCAACTCAGTATACAGAGACTGTGTATGGAGTTCCCGAAAAAATTATAAACCTAATTAGAACGCAGTACAACAATTTCCAGTGCAGAATCCAGTGCAGAGCCCTCTTACCCCGTAATCTGTAGTTAAATCGTGATTTTTCATGGCACCAGTTTAGTTTCTAATAGTAATCGACAGTATAATGAATACTACGCTAGCGAAAAAAATCCTGTCAGTTTTTGGAATTTCACTGAACAACTTGAAGATATCGATAACGCAGACGATATATGTCGATTAAACATACAGACATGCAATCTAAGTTAAAAGATCTTGCAGTAAACTATACACGCTTACTTATTCTTGAGATTTAGATCTCCTCCTATATATCACAAGGGTTTTACCGTTCAAAAAAGTTTCACCACATGTAAATATTGGAACAAATAATAATCAGTAGGTGTCAGATTTAAAGAATATAGTGGATGCGAGAATATGTTGCATGAGTTGTCTGTTGGGAAAATAAAACGAAATTACTTTCCGAACACCCAGACAATGATTTAACGGCGCACCATATTCGCTATTTTCTATAGTTTGTATAGTTTTGTACTATTCCTTTGAAGAACATTCTTTTTATGAATTTTTATAGATCGACAATTCATTACACAATAAATAAGACTGGTCGATTGGATTGAGGAT